GAGGAAAAAGAAAAGAAGCAAGAAGAACGAGAAAAGAAACAAGAAGAGAGACTACAGCAGTGGTTGCACAACTTCCCGTAACTTTCTCGGTATAACTGTTTGCCAGGTTGTCACTTTCTCATCTACAGTTCCTATCTCCGGAGAAGAATACCATCTTCAAGCTTCAACTGGTCCCATTGTGCCCAATAGTTCTTTGTCACAGGGCTTAAGTTAGACACCTTCTCCCAAGCAGGGTGCAAAACACTTGCTTTTAGAAAATCAATTATTGGCTTCAAATCTTCGTCTTTCTCCTGCTCTGCTTTAATATCTATACCTGATTCCACTTCACCATCATCAACTCCTTCAGTCACTTTGACTTCAGCTTGATGACACCTGGTTAGCTCAACCTCTCTTTTGCAGCAATGTCTGCAGTCATTTTTTCAGGGTCTTCGGCTCAGTCCATCGGTATTTCCAGGAGATTTTCCTTCTATGTATTCAATATCGTAATTATACTGGTCTATCTTTCCGATCCAATGTGCCAGTTGTCCCACTGGGTTCTTTAATGATCTTAATCAGCGTAATGCAGCATGGTTTGTCCTGATGATAAACTAGCCCCATAGAGGTAAGGATGGAAATATGTCAGACTCTTTACTATAGCAAGGAGTTCCCTCCGTGTTATACAGTAGTTCCTCTCGGGTCTACTCAGGACCCTACTGAAGTAGGCCACCACATGTTCGTTTTCGCCCACTTTCTGAGACACCGCTCCTCCAATTTCGACATTACTAGCATCCCAATCCAGTGTGTATGGCAGTGAGGGATTTAGAAGCATTAAAAGTGGAGCTGAGGCCAATTTTTCTCTCAATGTCTTAAAAGCATGCTGGCAAGAAACTGTCTATTCGAACATCTGGCCCTTTTTTGTTAAATCATGTAGTGGAGCAGCTAAAGCTGCAAAGTCCTTCACAAACTTCCGGTAATAGGTACAGAGTCCCAAGAAACTTTTTAACTTTCTTACATTGTCTGGTGTTGGCCAATCATGCACTGCTTTCACCTTGTCAGGATCAGTTCACACACCATGCTCACTTACAATGTGACCAAGTAAAGCACCTCTATCTGAAACAAGTGGCATTTCTTGGGATGGAGTTTGAGGCTTGCTGCTATCAAACACTTGAATTCTTCCTCTAGCTAGGACATTTCCTCATCAAACGTTGTTGAAAACACGATGACATCATCCAGGTATACTAGGGCTATCCTCCATTGAAGGCCTTCCAGTACTCTTTTCACCAGCCTATCAAATGTTGCTGGAGCATTGCTAAGCCCGAATGGCATCACACAGTATTGCCAGAGACCCTGGCCATAACTAAATGCAGTCTTAGGTTTATCTGTTTCAGCCATTTTTCACTTGATGGAAACCCGACTTTAAGTCTAGAGTTGAAAACCACCTGGCTCCACTTAGAGCATTAAGAGTATCATCAATTCTTGGCAGTGGGTATGATTCCTTTTCAGTTATACTGTTAAGAGCCCTGAAGTCAAACACAGCAACATCCTTCTTCTGGACTAACACGACAGAAGCTGACCAGGGACTATCTAATTTTTCGACTATCCCTTCCTTAATTAAGCCATCCATGACCTTTTCCATCTCTTGTCGCTTTGCCGGAGCTATTCTCCTCGGAGGAATCTTTATTAGACAGTGATTGCCTGTGTTTATTCTGTGCTCTACAAGGTCTGCGCAGCCGAGGTCATGATCTCCTTTTGAAAAGACGTCTGCATAATTCGCCAAAAGTTCCCTAACCTGAAGAGCCTGTGATGATGACAAATGGACTATAATCTTCTTATAGAGGTTAGTTAAATGTTCTGGGAAAGGATGTCCTTTCCTTATGGTCGTATTTCTTGCCATAACATTGACTGGCTCTTCCTCCTGGTGCACACCCAACAATGCCCCTTCCTTAAGTGTCTGCTCACATTTAGAGAAATTGGCCAATGTTATGGGTACTACTTGATGACCTACCACAAATAACCTTCCAATTTTCACATCTGCTGGCCTGGATGGGCCTTCCACTGCTTCCACAAGCATCTGGCTTCCTTAGGGATGTTCTTTTATTCTATCCCAAATTATCTTCTCTGACATAGGGGGTATTGTAGTTGATTTAAGTGCTGTGACATGCAAATCAACCGATGCTGCAACACTTACCGGAATTTGGCTTTTGTTGTTCCCAAACGTCATTTTATCGAAGTTAACTACACACTTCCTCGGTTGTAAGTAGTCCAACCCTAATATGCATTGGTCTTGAATGTCAGCCAAGTATACTTTGTGTCTGTCCTTCATGCCCATGAGTTCAATAGTTACCCACACTGGTCCCCACAACCTTGCATAATGTCCTATCACACCACAGAGCTTCTGTATGGTACTCCTTTTTGATCCAGCACCTTGAAGGGTTTGCTGAGATGCAGAATCTATGACAAAGTTGCACCTTTGGCCATCCAGCTTCCCTGTCACGTAGACACTATGTGTGCTTGCCATTTTACATTTAACTGTTGGGACTTTCACAATGGGGGTTGGTGGGCGTCCCTCAGCACCAACCACTATTGATTTC